AAAAACAAACTCTCACCTTTCGTTGATCTGGCGTCATTCGTTGATATCGTAATCGTGCAGCCTCTGCTCGTTTTGCATTGCGCACCACGATTTGTTGTGCTCTGTTCGTCGACGCGTTAATGTTCTTAATGATAGCAAAGCCAAAAAAAAATCGAGACATACCTATCCAGTGCTTCGCCGTTAATTCGACCTATAGGCATAGCCAGTAACATCTCTTCCTCCATTCGACGACGTCTAAATGCTTCAGTACGTCGTTGATTGTATATGCGTTTCTCCTCTTCAGTCATTCGATGATATCTGTAGAATGAGGAACTTCATCTAGAACCGGTGAGTTAAGGGACAACACAAATGCGAACCTCTGTCGAGCAGCTTCCGCTTTCTTGGCATTCTGAGCTTTAATATGAGCTCTCACTGCTTCCTCATCCTTGATAGGATCCCCAGTTCCTCCAGCAGCCTAAAACACAATTAGGACAGAGTGGGAGCAACAGTCTCAAATATGCAATATCAACTAGAAAATTCGTAGTTCCACAGTAATTGTAGTGAGCAAAACAAATGTAACAGACCTTTACAGCAGCCAATGCATTCTGCATTTGACGCATACGACGTCGATTGTTGTGAGCGCGACGCTCTTCTGGTGTCATTCGTGCATATCTATACAATAAAGGACGTTTATAATCTAATTTGGACAGATTATTCGCGTTAATCTAACCTCTGTCGCGCAGCTTCTGCCCACTTTGCTCGCATTCTTTTCTCTCGAAGTTGCTCCGTAATATCAGGATCTTCCTGGAACATTTTTGGCGCATATTTTTAAAAAGTTATGAACATGTTCAGGTGAACTACGTCATAAAATCATTTTGTTTTCTTACCTGTATGTCATTTGTTTCTCTAAGTATGGACTCCAATTCTTCAAGTTCTTTTTCCCGTTGTCTCTTCCGTTTCTGTGCCAGAGTTCTTTTCAGATTCAGCTCGCGCTTTTCCGCAGGTGTCAAGCGGTGATATCTATACGAACACTTTCAGCGCAGATTTTGTATCATACAACTTTCTGTGCATATACCTCATTCTTGCGGCTTCTGCTTGGCGTGCCTTTTTGAGGCGCTCTTTTTCGGCCTTATCAGGAGAGACAGGGGCTACTTTCAAATTCATATTTACTCCCACTCCTTTCACATTGGTCGTAACTAGCGTGCCACCCGCATAAGAAATTTGTGGTGGAAGCTGGGCTACCTTAAAAGGACAGCAAATGTAACGTGGACACAGCATAGGATCAAATAAACTACCTGCAACGTCTGAACGCCTTGCAATGACTGAGTTGATTGAACCTAAAAAGTATGTAAAAAGATAAGACGTGTTAACCTATTTGAAGTTCAAACACACCTGGACTGTCTGATGACTTGGTGTTGCCCAAGTGGATGTTGAAGGAGCAGGCTGTTCAATGAAGTAGGTATCGAGAAGCTGGGATATTCTCTTTTCATCATTATCACTCGATAAGCGCATCTGCGTTTGACCAACTTGGCCACCACGGTTCGTTAGAGGAGACTGCTGCAGCTAGAACATTGTGCTTCAATACTTAATCATAAGCGAG